TTATTAATTAGTATCAATTAATAATTAATTCATTACAAAAATATACAATATTAAATTTTTTTGACATTTTTGATTATGTTTTTATTAAAAAAAATTTATTACAATTAATAATATAACAATTGTTATTTTTTAATTTATTATTCTTTTTCATTACAATTAAATTGTGTAATTTATTTAATGGACATAAATTGCACAATTTATTTCAATATTAATAAATTATTTTTATTATTATTTTGTTTAATTTATTTTTTTATTTTTATTTCAATTTATTTTGTTTAATTTATTTTGTTCAATATTATTTTTATTATTTTGTTTTTAATTATTATTTTTGTTTAATTTATTTAATTTTTTTTTCCTTCTCTTCCTTCCTAAGCCATCCGTACGCCGCCGATGGTCTGCAACCCTAGCCGAGATCGACCCTAGCCGGTGCTCTACAACAGAGAGAGAGAGAGGAGATCGAGTGAGATTGCAGATCAGATCGAGAGAGAGACGAGATCGATCCAACCATGCGCAGAAAGACAAAGTGAGATTGCAGATCGAGAGCGACAACCCAGATCTTCATCAGATCGAGTGAGATTGTAGATCGAGCAACCCAGATCTTCATCTTCATCGAGAGAGAGAGAGCACTTGGTAATATTTGAGATCGACCCTAGCCGGAAATCGAACCCAGATCTTCAACCCATATCTGCAACTCTAGCCGAGATCTTCATCTTCATCGAGAGAGAGAGAGACAGAGAGAGAAAGAAAGAGAGAGAGCACCGCCGGAAATCACCTCCACCACCGGAAATCGCCAATCACTCTTGAGAGGAGTGAATAGTGTTTTGCATTGTAGTTTATATAGTGGCCATTTGGTAATATTTGAGATTGATGAGGGGCATTTAAGTCATTTTGCCCCTCAATTTTAGCTTCCCGGTTAAGCTGTTTGATTTAAGCATCTCCTCTCCCACTCAAAGAATAAGCTGATTTTTGATTTAATTTAAGCTAGAAGTTGGTTACTTAAGCTACACCAAACACTCAAAAACTACTTAATTTAAGTAAAAAGCTGAAATAAGATGATTTTAAGCTATACCAAATGGGGCCAATATTTTGGGCCAAAATAGTCATATAAGACAAAATAAGCTATTTTAGCCAAATAGGATAAAATGTCACATCTAACCTATAATCATTTTATTTTTTCTCTCACAAAAGTCAAAAAAAGCCAAAAAGTCGATCCCAAATGAGGCTTTTTAGTCTCAGGCTAAAATAGCAAAAAAACTAAAAAGCCAACCCAAATCCCAAACGAACTCAAAATAAGACATATATATATATATATATATATTTAAAAGTGTTATAGCAAACATAATTTTTCACAAGAACATGAGGTCATGGCCCTTATAGTTTTCTTCTAATTCTAACCATATACTTAAAATAAATTTTTTCGTTGAGTTTAATGACTAAAATAAAAATTTTCCGTCACTTCTAGTTAACAAAAAGGGCAAATTACACTAACAGTCCTTATAGTTTGAGAATTGTGTCACTTTAATCCCTGACTTTTCAATTGTGACACATTTGACCCTGAATTTTGAATCTTGTTCCAAATAAGAACAATTGAACATACCATTACTTAATTTCAAGGGCAAAATTGTCAATTTGATAAAATATAAATTAATTTGACAAAAATAAATATCAAAAAAATATTTTTAAATTGTAAAAATTATTTCTACCCACCAAAAATAAAATTATGTAAAAATGTTAAATCTTTTAGACATTTATTTATTTATTTATTTATTTTACAAAATGAATAGTTGTTAAGTTTTTAATGTGTAATCAATATATTTAACGGGGCAGTTTGGAAAGTGAGATTTTAGCCCAATTTAGGTTAAAATTCACAAAAAGACAAAATAAGCTAAAATGGCTAATAAGACAAAATGTCACGTCAAATTCATAATTATTTCACTTTTTCTTTTGCAAACATCACATCAAATTACAAAAAAATCAAATCATTTTTTCAAACACAAAAAATTTAGCCTGCCAAAATAGTAACTTTCCAAACACCCACAATATATGAAATATTTTTAGTTTTGAATTTTTTGATTTAATGGATTAGTTTAATAATGATTTTAAGGTTATCACCATATTTGACTGTTGGAAAAATATAAACTAATTTAATGAAAATAAAAATAATCACCAATTACATGATTATCATCCAAACACATAATAAAAATTAATTTGGCAAAAAAAATAAATGTCCAAAAGATTTATCAATTTTACATAATTTTATTTTTATTAGGTAGTTTTGATTTTTAAAAATTCAAAAATATTTTTTTGACATTTATTTTTGTCAAATTTGTTTATATTTTATCAAGTTAACAATTTTGCCCTTAAAAAATCTAATGATATCCTTAATTGTCCTTATTTGAAACAAAATTCAAAATTTATGGTCAAATGTGTCACAACTGAAAAGTTAGGGATCAAAATGACACAAATATCAAACTATAAGAACCGTTAGTGTAATTCACCCTAACAAAAAATAACAAATGATTTAGATTGAAAATAAAATAAAAAAATTAAATTTAAATTGATAAAATTAAAAATTAAAAATTTATTTGATTAGAAGAGACAAACCTTATTTTTTTTATTGATAATTTCTTCAATTTTTTATTTTATTTTTTTATTTTTATAATAATGTAATAACTATGAATCAATAATTTTAAATTTCGATAAAATAAAATGAATATCTTCTTTAATCTTGCCAATAGATTTTTTTTTTTTTCAAATAGACTCGCCATAATAACAAATTAAATTTAAAATGTTTTAAAATTTATAAGTTAGAAAAAATAATTTTAAAATGATAACATTTAAGGGTGTAAATTTAGCCTGACTCGGGCTTGGGCAGGTCCGCTATCGGGCTGCGCAGTCTCCTGTCAAAATTCGAGTCGGTCTATGGACTAGAAAAATTAGGCCCAGGATCAGGGGGTACTCAAGCGGGCTAGTGGACCGAGCCTTGAGCGGAGCTAGTGGGCCTGAGCTTGGGCTTGAGTCAGGCCTGGTACTTTTTTTTTTAATTCTATTTTTTCCAACAAAAAATAACAGTGGGCCTGGGGGGCCGAGCTTTGAGTGGATCGAGCCTAGCAAGTTGGCTCATGGGTTGAGCAGGGTTTCGAAATAGACAGTCCAGACCTAGGGTCTCGGCCCAGGCTTGGATGGACCGGGCTGTAGGCCGGTGGGCCAAGTTTAAACCCCTAATGACATTATAAGTTTTTATTACATAAATTTATGTATGAACTACTTATATTTCAATTATTTTATCTACACATCACTTTTTTAAAATGAAAAATTAGTGAAATATCTTTTTCCTACTTTAGATAATAGTAGATATTCAATATGCTTTTTTCTTATTAGTTAAAGGTCCCTCAATAATATTATTAGAGAAATTTTAATTCTTCATAGATAAATTTCTATGTGAAAAACCTAAAACTAAGATCCCTTGTTTAGAATTCTCCTTTAAATTTAAGGTAATGGTATGGTAAACAACCCTTTATGGTGTGTACCAATTGTTATGTCCTATGGTGATATTAGTAACGACATATTGTGATATTAATTGTGATATTATTTTAGTTATAATACCAGAGTCATTTGTTTATACCTCATTTAGTGTTGGGTTAGAGCATCTCAAACGGTACATCTATTTTTTTTTTAATATCAAATTTGAGTAAAAACTCCATTTGATATCAAGTGCTCCAATGAAAAATTTTGAGTTTTATCAAAATACTGATCCACCGGACAGATGTTCGGCAGGTTGACTGTCCAATGTATTTTCTTCACAAATTTTTGCCTAGGACATTCAGGGGACATCCGTGACGACATCTAGGGAATATTCGGTAGTAAAAATTCAACAGTGATGAACAGTGATTTGATGCAAGCTTAAAGCATTCTCAATTTAGTGAAAGATTTTTGATATCCTCAATTTAATACTTAATTGATTAAAATTAGAACAGAAAAAAAAAATCGGTGTATTTGGTTTGAGTTTTTTGAATTAAGTTCTTTGAAAACTGAGTTTTTTAGTTTTTGTATTTTTTTTTGTTTTCAGTGAATATTTTTAAAATTTTGAACATTTTTTTTTATTTTTTTAGATGCACCTTACTTAGATGTATTTAAAAAGTAAAAAATTTGTGAAAAATTATTTTAAAAAATTAAAAAAATACAAAAAATGTACTGAATTCTCGTATTTTTTTTTTTATATTTTTGGTATTTAGTGAATTTTTAAAAGATTTTTTTCACAATTTTTTTACTTTTTAGGTATATTTATGTTAGCTATGTCTAAAAAGTAAAAAAAATTGCTAAAAATATTGAAAAAATTCAATAAAAACAAAAAAATTACGAAAAACAAAAAAATAAAATTTTCTAAAAAATATTTTTTGAAAAACCTAACTAAGGCCTCGTTTGGCAAGAGGCTATTTTAGCCAATTAACCAAAAAGTTATTAAATTAGCCAAAAAGCCAACAACCCATACAAAAAAGTCAAAGATTTTCTTTTCTCTCTACTTTTTGCACATCTTTTCGTAATTAGCCAAAAAGTCATCCCAAACATACAAGTTTTTTTTACCTACTTTTTTAGCCAAATAACCAAAAAGTTACTAAATTAGTCTGTTCCCAAACGAGGCTTAAGTAAGCTGATATTTTTTTTATTAAATTTAAATTTAATGGCAGAATTGATAAACTATTAGATGTTCTTATAAGTAATTTTTTCTTCTTCTTTTAGTTAGATCACCCGTAGAATTGGGTTATAATATTTGCAAATCTCATAACTATAAGTACACACCAGCTTAAATTTATATAAAATTAATTTAAGTAAAATATTAAAATTCGTTTTACATTCGATCCACTGAATCAAAATCAATTACGCAAAGAAAATGCCTAACACCTGCAGTGGAGTCACTGGGAGGTCGTGCGTGCAGAGACACCATTGATCAAAAAAAAAAAAAATTTATTTTTTTTGTTTTTTTTATTTCAACGAATGAGGTCCGCCACGTTACTGGGGTCGACAAAACCCAAACGACAACTAACGTGCAAAAGCAAAATCTAGCATTCAAAAATTCAAATCAAGCCAACAATGGCGAGAAGAACACATGGTCAACATCACCAAAACCCTAGATCCTTTCTCAGTGTCTCACCTCCTCCTCAATCTTCTCTCTCAAAAAACCCTTAACATTTCACACTCAAACACAGCCAGCTCTGCTTCTTACACGATGGTTGTGCATTGGAGGCGTGTGTTGCGTCTGTTGCCGCTGATAGTCATCGCCGCCCTGGTCGTCTTCGCCGCCCTGGTCGTCTTCGAGGATAGAGTTTCGATCCCCTCCTGCGTGGTAGTCCCCAATGGCGGACAACATGTGGAAGAAGATCACCCGGACGATCTGAAGGTGATGATGGTCGCGAATCTGCTCTTGTTGGGCTCCGAAGCTGGCTACAAGAACATCTTCTTCAGCGACTATTACTTGTCCAAGTTCTTTGAGGTATGTTCGTGCAATTTTGGGGTTAGGGTTTTTGCAAATTGATGAATTTGATATTCTATTGCTTTAAATTGATGAATTTGGGGTTAGGGTTTTGTTCAATGTGAAGTTTTTTTTTCCCCAGATACCAACAATTAGAAACGAGTTTAAATGAATTAAATACGAGTTGAAACATTGGGTGCAACTGATCAAGCTCAGTTAACTATTAGGCTGTTCGAGCTTTTGTTTCTTATGATGTGCTTGATTTGATCTGGGTGTTCAGACTTTGTTCACTATACGTTGGCACGCGCTTTGCTTACAAGCATAGAGTAATTTAAGACTTGATTTTTTTTCATGTTAGAATCAAGCACTTTAATATGAACAATGAAAACTTGTTATATCACTTTATACATATTTAAAGATATTCGTTTTTTCGTCTTGATTCATTGCTTAAGCATATGACTTGCCAAAGTTTACTCTTATTTTAATTAAGTTTCATAAAGGATATTACACTTAATATGTTGCAATTTTATATTACTTGAGCTGGAAGTGTAACATCACAAAATCAGGTTGTGGAGCTGAATAAATTCAGGAAAAAAAAAGAAAAAGAAAAAAAAAAAGAGCTTCAATCCATGGTTGACAAATCCTGGTTCAATGACACTTGAGGATTGCAGTTATTAGATTCACATGTTTCAACATGAGTTGAATCTCTCTGTATTTGTACTATCTTTCATCCCTGTCATTGTCCATGCTTTGAACTATTCTTTTATTGGAACTTGCATAATCTTATCATTTCATGTTACTAATATTTGAACCAGAAATCATTTAAAATCTTGAAGCCTGATATGCTGCTCGTATTAGGAGATGTTTCTGCTAGAGGATCAAAGTTGACGAGAAGTAAGTGGTCATCTGTGATCAACCAGTTCCACAAGTTGTTAGGTCCCTTTCATGGCCGTCCATTTCATGTTATTCTTGGGGACAGAGATACTGGAGACTGCAGTGAGCTAAATGCAATATCTGTTAATTGGCTAGCCGGAAATTTTCCTGGATTGGACTCATCTGGTTGTGGTGCCTTCGAAATTAGTAATATTAGTTTTGTCTCACTTAATGCTGTGGCATTGCTCTGTGGCAACAATAAGTTACGTTTTAGTGTTGAAAAAGTAATAGAAAGAGAAAGTATAGATTTGCAAATGGTCAGTGAACAAACAACAAAAGTGTTAGATGAGTCTAGTAAATTCAGATTGGCCTCTGGTGACTTTGGGTGGAGAGAAAATGCCATGTCATCTGGATCCGGACCTGTCCTCCTACTTCATTTTCCATTGCACTGGACAGAAAACAACAATTACTGGGATAACAGTGCTGTTGGTGGACCTTATAATCATCCAGATGAGAGTTCAAAAATTATAGAGAGTAGGTATGTGTAATCTTTCATCTCTCAAAGCATCATACATGGTAGTTTCTGTAATTATGTATGTTGGACTAAAACTGACATGATTTGGTAGTTTCTGTAATTATGTATGTTGGACTAAAATTGACATGGTTTGGTTCACCTCTTATTTTCTTGACCGCCTTCTGAAATAGGAAGTTTGTATCTTTGCATACTTAGCCCGCTAGTTGTGTTGGGATTCAAAGAAGCTGACTAACAAGCTACTTGATCCCAGATTGCAAGAGCATGAAGCTGGAGAATCAGATCTTGCTTTTGCTTATAAATCTCTTAAATGATTTCTAAAAAATAAATTTCATTCAAGCTCTTTCAGTTGGATTCATTTGTCAGTGGTGGTTAGGTGCTTCTTTGAGTTTATTTCGTGCCAATCAATCTCGAATGAAGGATTGACCTTGGATCATTTGTTTCATGAGTGTTCTTGAATGAGCCTCTGATAAGAATTAATCTTAAGTAGCTTGGTTTAGGAACAGCGTTAGCCCATTGCCCACTTCTACATTAAAAATGCAAACCCAAGTTTGCAACCCAATGTCCTGTAGACACAATATACAGGACCTTGATGCAGAATATGTGAATAGGACTTTCTATTATTATTATTATTATTATTATTATTATTATTATTATTATTTTGCAATAAATTGATAAATAATTTAAAAGAGCTTGTTTAATTGGTTTTACAAAAACACTTTGGAGCTTAATCAAATCTCTCTCGTTTTGTATTTTTTTGTTTTTTTGTTCTTGGTCTGAAAATCTCTACCTACTGAAGTAGTACTAACTGGATGAAATGACTAAAACAGGCCCAAAAACTGGGAAGAGTCCCAACCACGTGGGTATTTCATATTTGAATAAAGGGAAACAAAAAGCTATTTCCAGTCTTTTGGCCAAAGCAGTATTTTCTGGCCAGAATGCTTTAGAATGGGTTAGAATTTGTAACTACTATCTTTAGATCTTTGCATTCATTCACCCATTTACTTAAATTGCAAATCTTGAAGCTCACTTTAACATCCATCATCCATAGTGCTAGAAATGCTTGTTTCTTAAGTAACTTTCAACTTCTTCTACAGGGGGTTTGTTGGAACTGGACCATATGATTTATTTCACGCTCTCCCGCCAAATGCTACTGAATACGTTTTTCAAGCACTTAAGCCTAGGTAACTTGTCTTGCCTCTTTTCCTTCTAGAGATCCTGAATTCCATTCAGACGTTTCTTTTTCACCGACAATGTCATTTGAATTTCCTTTGTTAATTATATGGATGGATATATATGTCACGGCCCCAACTCGCCCCAAATAGGATGGCGTTGTGACGGGCTAGTAGTCGTAGACTACCAAAGACCTAACTCTCAAAACTAATTGAACTCTTATAATAATTGGGGCAAATCTACTCTATTTATAAGTGCGGAAACCATTAATTACTTATTTGTATCCATTTAAAACATTCATTCAGAGTAGTGCATAACTATATGAAATGAAAGCATACATTTCCTTTGGATTATTATTTTGCTATGTTACATGGGTGATACAACAAAACTAGAGTATATTACATATGGTAAATTATACAAATCCAATACAAGTATAAAAGATTGTCTTCTAGCAAACTTCTTTTCATAACCGAGTTTTTTGTCATCTACATATATATAAGGGAGGTGGGTGAGGCATTGTCCGGTGAATAATATTACAATAAAGTAGTAGATGAATGAATTCTAATCAGATTTGTAAAGCATAATTTCATATCACATTTCCAAAAGCATTCTAATATTTCTTATATACATAGTTCATATTCAAAACATGATAGCATGGTACATCCAATAGAGCAAAGTGAAGGAATAACCGGTTTAAACACCGATTAAACAACCCACTCTTAGTTGGCGAAGGAGATTTCAATAATGGCCATGGTGTATTTAACTGTCCCCTAGTAGCTAGGACTATCTAAAAGATGCCACAATGGATTTATACAAAAATATGGAACATTCATTCATGTTAACAGAAACAAAGTTTTCACAAACTAGAGGATACATTAGCGTATTTCCAAACAACCATTTTCGAATATAACTTTACAATAATATTACTCACAAATGGCTCGCAAACAATGAGGTTTTGCCCCATCCGAGTGTTTGACCTACACAATGCATAAGTAAGACTTGAAAGTACTTAAACTAACAAGCTTCTAAATTCACTTAAGGTGTTCTAACTTAACATAGTGTTTCTTAATATTTTCTTAGATTATCCAAGACTTTTCTAAGCCTTTTTCAAGTCTAAATCTAGTGTCAAACATGTATCGAATGCACGCCTAGAAGCATCCTAGGTGATTAAGGCCTAAAGAATGTTGAAGTGTGTCAAAGACGTACGTTGAAGGTCCCTAAATATTCCACATCAATTTCATATGCTATGTATTGAAAAATATCATGTTTAGATATTTAAGGTTAGGAAATAGGAAGAAATGAAAGGAAAAACTAAGTTAGGAGAGAAATTAGCATGAAATGGTTAGGAAGAAAGTGAGCAGCCTTCATTAATTTAAACATATCTTTTTGTATACATACTTAGAATTTGGATGTGAGACCACCACCATTGGAAACTAGACTTCCGGGGCTTGAATTTAGACTGAAGAATCACTTAAAATCGAGTCCGAATGAGAGAGATATGCTCATTTGAAATTGCAAGATATAAAAGAAAGTGGGCTGAAACAGGGGTTGGCCACACTGCGGTGGTGTGGCCACTCAAGCGGTGGCTCAGGGAGAGGCAGATTGGGTTCTGCACGGTCGTGCACCCGATAGTGGCCGCTAGAGCGCCCGATAAGCAGAATTCAAGTCTAGTGCGTGTTCTTGGTGTTCCAACTCCATTTTCGTCATTCTAAAGCCTCAAAACTTGATGTTTGATGTATCAAAACATAAATAAATGATGTATGATTCTTGAAACTCATTTTAATGCATGATTTCAAGATTAATCCAACCAAAAACTTGTTTTAATTCATGAACTTCTCAACTTAGTTTCTTTTCAAATCCTTTTTCATTTCCTTCATTTCAATCCTTCAAATCATGATATCTAATATTTCAGAACATGAATTTATGATACAAGACCCATGAAAATTCATTTGTATGCAATAATTTCAAGGCTTGACCAACTAAAAACAAGATTCAACCCATGAATTCATCAACCTAGTTTCTTTTCATATCTTCTACATTTTTCTTCATTTTAATCTTCCCAAATCTTAGCCTAAATGATTTTCTAGCCAGATTAAGGTAACAATACTAGATAGAGGGTTAAATTCCTTACCTTTCAGTGAATTTTCCTTGATTTTCCAAGCTTAGGATTTTTTGTTCTTTGATTTTCTCCCTTTTTTCTTCCTTTTCTCTCAAGAACTCAAGCTCCCTCTCAATTCTTCTCCATCTTTCTCAATTCTTCTCTTTTGTTTTTCTTTTATTTGATGTAGAATGATTAATTAGCTTAAGTGTTTCATTAATTACTTCATTAGTTTAATTAACCGAGCTTAGTTCTAATTAACCATACTTAGCCCTTAATCTTCATTAGCCTAATTAATCCTACTTAACCTGTGCTAATCCCGCTTAATTTCTAACAAGGTACTCATTAAACTAAGATCATTAAAGCTCCTTCACTTAGAGTTTCCTGAATTATCTAAATGTTCAATACTCAAGTTTGAGATGAATTCCCTAACTCTTTCAACATTTACTAAATCTCTTCTTCTAAACTCCTTAGGTTCTCTATCAAACACATACATTGCTAAGTTTTCTAGTTAATATATTCATCTACCAAGTTGTTATCCTAACAATTCATATTTTTATTTCCAGAATATTGTAAGGTAATTAAATCAGGGTATCCTGTGATATGAAATAGTCAATGGGATAATTATTTTAACCTAAGATATTGAAAGATGGATGATGATATAATTATAGTACGTGGCATTCTTTGGGGTGTCACAATGTGTCTCTTTGGACGCTTGATACACAAACTATATTGTGCTCTTGTATGTATAATGACATGATACACACGTGCAATATTTGATATGATGCAACACTCTCACACATGTATATTTCAGTGTTTCCAAAAGCTGCAATTGCTTTTTGGCACTATGTAGACTGGCATGTTAATTGTGCTGTGACATCAAGGTTTAAGATCATCAACCAAATGAAATACAGTTTCTTTCCAAATAACCTTTTGGATGAAGCCCACTACAGTTGGAGGAATGATGCAACTTATATATATATATATATGCTAACTTCTTCCTCTCTACCTGCAGGATTGTTTTCAGTGCACATACTCATAAATTTTGTGATCGCACTCACTCAGATGGGACCCGTGAGATAACTGTTCCAGCCATGACATGGGATGCAAGGAGTGAGCCTGGTTTTGTTGTTGCCTTGTTCAAAAGGAATGGAGGAGTTGTAACAGTCAGCCATTGTTCTCTTGCCAGGGAATCAAATGTACTAATTGCTTATATTTCTATTGTAATTCTGTTTATATCAACTATGCTTGTAGCAAAATCATCACATCTAACATCTTCAGGAAGTTGATAATTAAAACTTACCCCACACCATCTGAGTTGTGTATTACTTTTATATAATTTTTGACGTCTGAGTTGTGTATTACTTCTATATAATTTTCTTTCCTTGTGTTGAGGATGAAGCTTACTGTTTCTGCTCTGTTTGGTTCATGTATTAAAAAGGAAAAGAAAAAGAAAAAGAGTAGGAAATCATTGTTTCTTGTTTAGAAATCATTGTTTCTTGTTTAGAATGCAGGAGGAGCTTTCTCATTCAGTGTAGCCATCTTTTATATGAATTCTGGCTTAACTTATAGCAACAGTTAAGCTACAACATGCACTATAGTTCATACACACAAATTTGGCTTTGTTTTTGAAGATGCAAAACCTCGGGTATCAAACTACAACAGAAAAGGGATACTTCTCATCCCCAACAAGCAGGCTTTGTTTTTGAAGGTGCAAAACCTTGGTATCAAACTACAACAGAAAAGGGATACTTCTCATCCCCAACAAGCAGGTATCGCAGCCCCTTTTCAATCACCATCAACCCCTCTTCATTAGCTCTGCTAAGGTGCTCACAAGGGTTCAGCACAAATTCGACCTCGGCTCTCTCTCCTGCCTTCAAGCTTACGCTATGGAATCCGACCAACTGCTTCACCGGACTCCCATTTCTTGGTTTGGCATGCCTTACGAATAGAAGTACTGGGTGCTTACCATTCATCTCACCGTGATTTTTAACTCCAACAACAGCGGAAAAATTTGCCTTCTTGCAGGTTTCTCCACCTATGTCTGAAACTGACAGGTAACGAACTGAATCTGAGTCTTCAATTGCCTTGGTAGTCAATAATCTATTTAAGCTGAGCTTGTTCTGGGTAACAGACATGAACTCATATGAATATTTAGAGTAGCTAAGACCATAGCCAAACTCAAAAACTTTTCTGCCATTGTAGAATCTGTAAGTGCGCCCTGGGTAGCCAGTTGATGGCTCTGGTCGCATCCTCATGTCAGTCATCGGTACTTTGACAAAATCTTTTGGATACCAAGTTATGGGTAATTTCCCTCCTGCATGACAAACATGAAAACTACCATTTTAACTTCTTTTTTGTGAGTTGAAAGCAATGTACAAATGAACACTCTCGTTTGGGAACAAATTATTTTAGTAATTTTTTGATTTTTTATAAAAAGACATATAGAAAAGCAAATAGAGTGATGTGATAACTTATAGTGACTTTTTGGCTAAAATGTATAGTCGACAAATGAGGCCAAAGTGTGTATTTTAGAAGGATTGTGAAGAAACTTGACCTGGGTTGTGGTCACCAAAGATGATCTCTGCGAGAGCAATCCCTCCCGCTTCTCCTGGATAACCAGCCCACAAGATGCTTCCAATCTTTGGGTCATCTTTGGCGAAAGAAACATCAACTGGACCTCCACAAAGTAACACCAGAACCACGGGCTTCTTAGCAGCATTGGCAACACTTGTGATGAGACTCTGTTGATACCCTGGGAGCAACAAGTCCTGCCGATCAAACTGCTCCCTCTCCTGAGTTTGATCCAATCCCATGACCAGCACCACATGATCGCCTTCTTTTGCGATCTCCACCGCTTTGTCAGTGGCCACATAAGTACAGTTGACTGCATTACAACCCGGGTGATACATTGCCTTTTTAACATACCCTTGCAGTGCTTGGAGAGGTGAAATGGATTTGCAGGGTGGGCCTTCGTAGTTTCCAAGCAGTGTTGCTGTGGTGTCGGCATTGGGGCCGATCACGGCGAGGGAAGCGGTTTTTGACTTTGAGAGAGGAAGGAGGCTGCCAGAGTTTTTTAGGAGGACGATGCCATTCCGGGCGGCTTCAAGGGCTAGGTTGAGGTGGTCTTGGGTGCAGACCTGGTTGGGACCAATGTTGCCATAAGGGAGGTTGATTGGGTTGCCATTGAACAGTCCTAACCTCATTCTAACAGAGAAGAGGTTGTGAAGGGCTCTGTCTATCTCAGATATGGCTAGTTTTTTCTTTTCAACTGCTGATTTGGTGTAGTTCTTCAAGTAGGAACCACAATTCACGTCCATGCCTGTGGAAAAAAATCAAAGGGGTTTCAAGTTTGGTAATCTTCAGGAATATTCATGTGATAGAATTGAAAATACTTTCACATTCTAAAACGTCAACGCAAAATTTACCCTCAATCAATTGGACACACTTGCATATTAATCGTTGGTTTGTTAGAAAAAAAAAATAAAAATAAAAATATTCACATGATAATAGTTGTTAGTATATTAATAATTAGATTATAACACATAAATCAACATCTCTCCATAGATTCGAACCTCAAATCTCATTCACATTGACACTTAAATGCCTTGTCAATAACCACTTGAGCAACTGTTCAAAGTCAATTGTTGATTTGTTAAAAATTAACCAAGAGTCAATTCACTGCCATATTAGTGAATAAATTTTAAAATAATATTTTATAAATGGGATATTTACACATAATTATTAATTTATGAACTTACTTTATTAAATCATTTTTGGACTTTTAAATCTCATTAAATTTTCAATAGTCAAAATTCCCTTTCAAAGAATGATTGTTCATCATTTATTTTACGAAAAGATGTGCAGAAAAGTAGAGAGGTGATGTGATGGAAAAAAGATAAAAAGATGGATTATATAGTGTACCCCAAACCAGCCCTAAATTTTAAAATAATATTTTATAAATGGGATATTTACACATAATTATTAATTTATGAACTTATACTTTATTAAATCATTTTTGGACTTTTAAATCTCATTAAATTTTCAATAGTCAAAATTCCCTTTCAAAGAATGATTGTTCATCATTTATGATTATTTATAAAGGAATATTATGATTTGGAATTTATTTTGATTTTCAAAACTTTAAAACATCAACTCTAAAATTGAAAAAACTAAAATAAAATTATGTACAATTTTTTTTTTTTTTGAAAAAATTGAATTATTTTTTTGTGCAAGATTGAAAATTTTGCATCAATAAATGAGGATGACAATGGAACATTGATGTGCAAAACTAAGAAGAAAAAAAAAAATCATAACCCAAGTTTTTATTAAATTTGTTTGTAAAATAATGAATGATTTATTTTTTAAATTATATTTATCATCTATTTTTATATACAATGATAATTAAATTATATAATTATAATTATCTAATCAATTTAATTATTTTCATAAATATTTGACTTATGAACCCAAAAAAAAAAAAAAAATTCAATAATCAAAACAGATCACATAGTGAATTATTAGGTTCTATAATAGGCCCACAAAACTCAATAGCATCAAATCCACTTCATAAATTGTAGAGAAAACTTGCCTCCGTTTGGCAAGTGGGTTGGCTTTTTGGCTATTTTAGCTTGGTTATTTTAGCCTGGTTTGGAAAGGATTTTTTGGCTTTTTTAGCTTTTTTTGTGAGAGAAGATTGTAATGATTATGGGTTGGATTTGATGTTTTGTTTTTTGTGGCTAAAATAGCCTATTTTATTTTTTGTGGCTATTTTAGCCCCAAACCAAGTTCCCAAACAAAGGCTAAACTAACAATGAGCACTGCTCCCTCTCCTGAGTTTGATAATATTTTACTCTCATTTTATGATACCTAAATGTTTCATCACAACCACTAAAGTAATTTAACGCTCCTAACATAATCGGATTAAAACTATAAATTTCAGCCTCCCTATGTATACACCACCAACCATGTTATTCACGCATACTCACCTAATGATGCTATGTTTGGTTTTAAAAATAAAAAGAAAAAAAATAGTTGAAATGTATATAAAATATACTTATATTTTACTTAATTTCACACCGCTTTTCCCTTTCTCTTTCTAAATCTCTTTTCAAATTTCCTAACTAAATACAGCGTGAGAATGAAAGGTTTTAAACTATACAGTAGGGCTGGGCTTTAAAAATAATCTTTACATATTTTTTTGAAAATAGGAGTAGGATAAAATTATTTAATTATAATTATAATATCAATATAATTTTTTTACATGAATAGTTTATACAAAAAATAAATAAATTAAGTAATTGAATCCTAATGTAGAGTCCACTTAGATTAGATGGTATTTCGCAAAGTTTTTGGGTGGTATGTGGCATCACTCTATTTAGTTGTTAATTTAGAATTTTTCTATAAATAAGAGAGAAATTTATATATATATATATATAGAGAGAGAGAGAGAGAGAGAGAGAGAGAGAGGATACCAGCTTTAAGAACATCGACGATAGCATCTTCTGGTGATTTAGCATAACCTTGATTATCATGCATGATGGAGACAGCATCACAGTCAGAAGTGATGTAGCTGATCAATTGGATCAAAATGAATAAACAAAAATATAATTTTTTTAATATCAATTTGAAATTACAGAAATGAACTTGAAAGTCAGAGAATTGGGATTAGTTTGGTTTGCTAACCCTTGGAAACCCCACTGTCGGCGGGCAGTGTTGGAGAGGAGATCATAGTCGGCACAGTTAGGGATGCCATTGACACGGTTGTAAGCACACATTATTCCACTGGCTTTCCCTTCTTCCACACAACTCTTGAATGGTGGCTGGTATGTGTCTGCCAAGTCTTGCTTACTCACCTACAACACCCCCACACACACACAGGAAACACCGATTAGAATACATATGAAACAACAAAATTATTTAAAAGTTAAGTCCGATTAAGCAAGATATTACAAAAATTTGTCTATTTATGTATATTTTGTATCTTATTTTGAGTTCGATTTTTGTGTCCATAACAAAATTATTTTACGATTATCAACCACATAAGGAAAAATTATTTAATATTTTTAGAGTAGCACGTGTCTCTAATTTCTAATTGATTATCATTTAATATGTCTTCTTATATTCCCTAATCACTCAATACAATATCCCACATGTCCACCTTTTCTATCAATTATAATATTATGAAATATCAAGTATCTATATTCTAAAATTACTGAATAATTATGTGGATTAGCCAGAAGGACAGAACCAGAGAGAGTGAGCACAGAATAATGTAAGTACTAGAGCACGGTTAAATTACTTGGTAAAGAAAGGGCAAATTACATATACACCCCTTGAGGTTTGGCTAAATTACAGATACCCCTGAGGTTTCGGAAATTACATCCCGCCCCCTGAGGTTTGTATTTTCATAACAATTTGCCCCCTGAGGTTTATATTTCATAACAAATTACCCCCTAATTTCTTATGCAAATATAGCATTCAGGGGGGAATTCGTAATTTCTCAAACCTCAGGGGCATCTGTAATTTAGCCAAACCTCGGGGGTGTATATGTAATTTGCCCGTAAAGAAAAGAATACACGTACACAAGGCAATCTCATTTACCTACCACCAAAGCAGGAAATCAAATTAGATATAGAACCCAATGCCATTAACTGTAAATGTAGCTTAAAATTTAAACTTCTTGACCATTTAAACAAATAGTTTTGTTGGAAAAAAACGAAAGGAACAATTAACAAAAGCCACATAAGCAGAAACAAAAACGGCATACCCAGGGCAACTTAACAAGCGCTTATAAATGAATCCAAAGAAATAATGTAAATAAATTGAATGTGTTATTTGCCAATCATTTATTTTGGTGAATATTTTTTTATAGTTTTTTCTAGAAGAAATTACAAATCAATGAACAGTAGGCAAACAGTTGCATTATAGATGAAATTTTTCGGAGTACAACTATGACAAAGAATAGATTACACCATGTACACAGAAACTTACACCACTATGAAAATAAAAATATTTGTCACTGCATTACTTATTGTTCGTTTGGAATGTGAGTTAATTTTTTAATTTTATATTCTTTTAGTCAGACTAAAAAGTTTTGTTTGTGATAGACTTTTTGACTTTTTCGATTTTTGTAAGAGAAAAAAAAAACGATTATGAATTAGATATAACATTTTGGACTTTTCTTAAGCGTGCAACTTACGCCTTCCATTTACGCCTTTTCTGTTGCTGTCCTGTTTAATGTTTATATCTTCCATTTACGCTTTTTGTGTTAGTGGCATATGGTGTGCAACCTACCATAACAGGACCCTAACATTTTATCCTATTTAACTAAAATAACTTATTTTATCCTATATGATTATTTTAATCCAAATACCCATCCCAAACTGGGGTGAGATGCAATTTTCCGCACATAACAATAATTGATTTGATACACATAATTGAAATACATAACTCAATAAAAGGACAGTCACGAATTTACAAATAAAGTTATTTTTAATTAAATATTCTAAAAATCATCAATATCAAGAGGAATTTTGAAACTACTTTTTGAATAAAAAACCAAACCAAAAGAAAGAAATATATATTAAAAAAGAGAGCACATTTTAAATAAAATAAAATAAAATAAAACAAAATATTAAACAGCCAAAATCACGAATATCAAAGAGGCAGCATATTCAGCCTCTGTTTGGCAAGATGGTTTTCAGGCTTTTTTGGTTATTTTAGCCACAAAAAACAAAATAGGTTATTTTAGTCATAACAAACAAAACATCACATTCAACTTATAATCATTACATTCTTTTCTCACAAAAAAAGTCAAAAAAGCCAAAAAGCCAAAAAACCCTTCCCAAACCAAGCTTTTTAGCCCAGGCTAAAATAGCCAAAAAAACCAAAAAGCCAAAAAACTAAAAAGCCAAAAAACCAACCTACTTCCCAAACCAAGCCTCAAATTCAACCCACTTTTGAGTTAAAAAAAGTATTTTGTTTGAAAGTGAAGAAATGGCAGTGGGGTACTTACAATGGCATTGAAGACAAAACGATTGGTGCCATTCCAGTTATCCAAATCATAAGCAGTGAAATGCTTGCAACAAGCGGAGGCTTGAAGGTGTCCATCCTTGAGCTCTCCACCTTCAAAACTGTCTCCTTGTATTCCTCTCACATACGAAACCGCATATCTCCCTGCAACCAATGGGTCCTCCCCAGGTGTCTCTTGCCCTCTCCCCCACCTTGGATCCCTAAACACATTTATATTCGGTGCCCAAAATGTCATCCCTGTCGCTTGCCCTTCATTGTACACCGCTCTCGCTTCCTTTCCTATAGCCTACATTATTTGACAAACGAATCATCCATATCTCATTGCTCTTTTCTTTTCTTTTTAACTGCTATTCTCATTTTACTTTATTCTACTTATACTTTTTTCTTTATGTTTATTATACAGAAACAAAAAAATAAATTGAAATAAGAACAATAATTATGTATAATAAAGACAAAAAAAAGAAAAGAGTATTTAAAACAAAATAAAGATTAAAATGTAAATCTATTATATTTTGTTAATCAAATTTGTTTTTGATTTGAGACCTGACCGATTCGATACCAGAGTTGGGTATCGAAGGTGGCGCCGGTGAGGATGACTTGAGGGAAGCTGGTGGCGCCGGGGATAGAGCCACTGAATCGGATGCCGCTAAACCCGACTACGCCGTGTAATGCCTCCGACCACCACTCGTATGCGGGGATGCCGAGTCGGTCGATGGCCGGAGCAGAGTTGACGAGTTGGGAGACTTTCTCGTCGAGGGTGAGACGAGAGACCAGGTCTCGGGCTCGTTGGAGGATGGGTCGGGTGGTTTCGCAGAACGGGTATGATTTGGTAGATGGGTTGGTTGAGTCGCACGAGAATGGAGGAGGCTGTGTCGACTCAGCACAGAGTACTAGGAGGAGGAGGAGGAGAGTTGGGAGGCTGTGGAGCTTCATTGTTGTTTGGTGGTGTGGTTGAACTGGTCGTAGAAGACAGCTACTTGTTTAAGATGTTGCTTTGTTATTGAAGTAACATAGTTTAGGGTTGGTTAATCGCAATCCAGGGACACTTTAGTTTGTTTTTACCCAAAAAAACTGGTGTAGAGATACTTTTATGTGAATGTCAAGAAAATTAGAAGTGTCACATGGTTGCTTCGAAGTTTTGGTAGCAAAGATTGCTTACATTTTGGTTAAACATGAATATGTCCAATTCTTTTTGAGATTTGGGTGAAAAACGTTTTAAATTGAGTAAAAATTTTGAAATTTATGAAAAACAAGATGAGATTCTCTACATTTTTTTTTAGAAACGCTTTTATTTTTTAGTAATGATAGGGATATCAAAATTTCTACTAAATATTTTACTAAAGGTCTCACATGGGTAAATCCCACATACGTGTGACTTCTACATTTATGTGACATATTTGATAAAAATTTTAGAACCTCACATTTTTCTTATTTTATAAAATTATACATAATTTATTACACTTATTTTTATGCACAATGTATAATATTTTATTCCTCTGAAAGTGCATTAAGAGTATATTAAAATAAGAAAATTGGAAAATATAAAAATTTAAAGACTACATTCGTTTAATCCTGAAAGAGGGGCATCAAATCTTCTAGTCCTAAATCTATTTGTTTTTCTGTCTCAAAATATTTACATTTAAATAATCATGTTTTAAGATTATTTTAACACAGAAGTTTCATAATCCAAAATAATTATGAATGTTTTAAGACTAATAAAAAAAATTAGAGAGAAAATACATGACACTACGCACAAGGTCTTTGTCCTATTAATACACCGTGAAGGTGTAAAATTAAATGCTTCGACACTACTTTAAAGATGTCATCATCCTCCAGTCACTGTTGTAGAAATAGAATGGAAATATGACATTCAAGTTTAATCCTTTCAAGTCATTACTATGCAAACTTCAACTTAAAATTGTACCAACATGAGCGTTCAACAGTCACAATTTTCATACACAATATAATTTATTTTATTTTTATAATTTTAAATTGAAGGAGAGCATTAAAAATTAGGTAAAGAATACACCTTGTGGATTATGGACAATCAAAAGTCTAAATCAGTTTAAGAGTAACATGTGATATTATTAGTCTAACATGTATTAAATGCAAGTTTAGGTCCAAGATTGCAAATCTATATGGTATGATTGCTATCTATAGGTATTACTTCAAAATGGAAATGGGGTTAACCATGCGTCTTTTGTTTGATTATTTTATTTAAATTATTTTTAACAAAATCAAATTAATTCAATAATCATAACTCAAGTTTTTATTAAATTTGTTTATAAAATAATGAATGATTTATTTTTAAAATTATATTTATTGTCTATTTTTTATATACAATGTGGGGTTAACCATGCGTCTTTTGTTTGATTATTTTATTTAAATTATTTTTAACAAAATCAAATTAATTCAATAATCATAACTCAAGTTTTTATTAAATTTGTTTATAAAATAATGAATGATTTATTTTTAAAATTATATTTATTGTCCATTTCTTATATACAATGATTATTAAATTATGTAATTATAATTATCTAATCTATCTAATTATTTTCATAAATAAACGACGTATGAATAAAAAAAAATCAATAATCAAAATAGATCACATAAGAATGTTTTGAAAAGATAGATAAAAGTTAATTTTTTGACTTTTTTTAAAAAAAATATATAAAAAATATTAAAAATAATGTTACTCAAAATGAGTTAAAAATGAGTTAAAAATTAAAAACTGACATTTTAAAAAAGGCCATAGTGGATTATTGGGTTTTATAATAGGCCCACAAAACTCAATCTCATACAAAACTTTATAAATTAGAGAGAAAACTTAAACTAATAATGAGCACTGCTTTTTTAACCTGCCCATTTTATTGTGGAGTAATAGACTCACTTTATCATAATTTAAAAAAAAAAAAATTAGTTTGAGAAAATTTAAAAAAAAATTCAAAATTAACATTTTAACAATTTTGAAATATATTAATTTTTTAAAATTTTTAAAAAATCGAAAAAAAAAAAACTGAAAAAACGCTAAAAAGATTAATGCCAGACGCCGTTTAGTCCACTTTTGACCTATCTCTCTGCCTCTAGATGATTTTTCCAACCTTATTCAACGTGAATAAAAAATTAATATGTATTTTTATTATAAATGTCTTAATTAAAAAAAATGCTGTCACCAGGGTTTATGTAATATTAGATTTTCCACAAAGATGTTATTAGACACCGAGTCAACTCAATAGCAGTGACTCACCTGACCAATGCGAAACCAAAGATTGTTATCAAAGGTAGAGGCAGTGAGAATGATTTGAGGGAAGCTGGTGGCGGAACGGATGGTACCCACAAACCTAACCCCCTTTCCGTGCCTGGAAACGCCGTGCAACGCTTCCGACCACCACTGGTAGGCGGGGATGCCGAGTCGGGGAATCGCCGAGGCCGTGTCAACGAGTTGGGAGACCTTCTCGTCGAGGGTGAGTCGAGACACCAGGTCTTGGGCACGTTGGGCTATGGGCAGAGCGGTTTTGCAGAATGGGTAGGTTTTGGTTGATGGGTTTGATGAGTCACAAGTAAATGGAGGCTGAGTCGACTCAGGGGCATAGACTAGGCAGGCACTGAGGCATAAAAGATTGATAGTGAGAGGGAGGGTGTGGTGGGGTCTCATGATGTCGGTGGAAGAAAGTGACAAATGGAAGTGTATGTAGGGGGGTGTGTGTAAAAATAGCATAAAGTGTAGGCCTGAAAGACAAATGTTGAATTGCAGTTTGGCAGCGATGTGGTGACCGGGAGAAGTTATTGGTTGGTATTGGTCACCGCGAGTGTGTCCCAATAGTGGTAAAAGAAGTAGGATCTATAAATATGTGTAAGATTATTGAAAATATAAAAAGATATAATAAATTATAATTAATAAAAGATATGGTTACGGAGACCAACTAATAATTTTTCAGTGACTAAGAAGGGTTGATTGTTCTCTGTAATTGGCAAAGCTGAGTTTATCGTTTTTGTGGTTGATTGTATATAGGGGTGTGTATAATACCGTTAAAATCGTTAAAATTGTACCGAATCGTACTATTAAGGTAAATTCGTTATTATTTGTCAATCGAACTGTCGATTTTTGGTAAGAAAAATGGCAAATTCTAGTGATACTTTTATCAATCCGTCAGTTTCTATTTTTCTTCCAAACTGCACCGCTATTAAATCATGTTTTATAAGATTCTAAAAATTCTTTTTTACTTAAGTTTGCTTGTTGTTTTATACCTTAGAATATAGTATTACATTACTGCTCGAAGAGAATTCAAGATGTCAGTAATCCAAAATAAAGTTGGATTCCAATTTACTTTTCAATCTTTTTTTTTTTTTTTTTCTAGCCATGTTGCAAACTTGTATCAGCTCACTTTTCAATCTAAATACTTTTCAACAGTAAACATTTTCAATATATTGTAAACCCTGAATGATATTAATTTTATGTATTGTATTTGATTATTGTAGCTTCCACAGATGCTTGTAATGAATTGATGACATAGTCGTTGATATTATCATGTTGTTGCTACACTTGCTGCATTAGAAGAAAGCTTCGCAAGATACTTAACATCACGGTATCTCTCGTTTTTTTTTTACTCTTTGATTTAAGTTTTGTAATTTGAATTATATTTTTTATAAACCGCCAATCCGCCCGAATCGCCAAGGCAAATCCGCCATTATTTGCCAACCGAACCGCCAGTTTTTGATAAGGAAAATAGCAAATTCTAGTGACACTTTTATCAATCCGCCACCCGCCATACAGTTTCTATTTTTCTCTCAAACCGCACCGACCCACACTGCGCACACCCCTATTGTGATTCTTTTTCTAATTTTCTAATTCATTTTTTGAGATGAGAACAAAAAGTTGAGATATGGAAGATTCTTTTTTGGGGGATTGGTGGTTGAAGTGTTAGTTGTTGAGTGTGGAAATCTACATTTCTATTAGTGTGATTTTTCAATGTTATATTGAAGTGTTATATTAGAGTGTTATATTTAAAAAAATATAGTAAGAATTTTTTGTGTATTATATTGATTGAAATGTTACATTTGAAATATATACATATATATAGGGTTTTTTATTTATTTATTTATAATATTACATTACGTTTGAGAAAAAAAGTAAACTAATAATTTTTTTAGTGTGTTACATTGGAGTGTTACGTTTAGAAAAAATACACTAAAGAATCTTTGTGTGTCACATTGATTGAAGTGTTACGCTTCAGAAAAGTATACTAAAGATTTTTTTTGGAATATTACATTGTTAAGTTTGGAAAAATTACATTAAAGAGTTTTTTAGTGTGTTACATTGAAGTGTTATGTTTAAGAAAAATACAGTAAGGAATTTTAGTTTTTTAGTATGTTGCATTGGAGTATTACGTTTGAAAAAAATACACTACGGAATTTTTTTGTGGGTTACATTAATTAGAGTGTTACGTTTAGAAAAAGTGCACTGAGGAGTTTTTTTGAAATGTTATATTATTACGTTTGAGAAAAATACATTAAATAGTTTTAGTATGCTATATTAAAGTGTTACGTTTTTGAAATGTTCCATTGGAGTGTTATATTTGGAAAAGTATACTAAATAATTTTTTTTTAAGTGTTACATATAGTAATTTCAACATTATGAGAAAATTCACATTTGTCCCTCAAAACACATAACACATGTGTGTTTATACTTGGCCCTTTATGTAATTCACACTAGAATATGACATTTGAGTCCATAAGAAAAAATGAAATATCAAACAATTTATAAGATTATTATTTGAAATTTATTAGTACTTCACCCAATTCTTTACACCCTATTAAAGATTTTAATTTATTTATTACTTGATAAAAATTAGGGCAAATTATAATATATAAAAAAACTAAAGGTTTGAGCCAGGTAACAAAATAATTTTTTTATTTTTTATTTTGTCAATTTAAATGTTATATTTTAAATTTGTTTTCAATTTAAACTATTTATTTATTTTTGTTAAGTAAAATCGATGAAAAATAAGTATTTTAGTCATTAAACTCATAAAAAATGTATTTTAGACATTTTATGTATACCTACATTAAGTTTAATTACTAAAATATTTTTTCCCGTCGG